AGTTTTCTATCTGGCTGCTGACCCAGGTGTCCATGGGTATATATACTATACAAATTAACCTGACTTTACGGCACTTTGTCGTGAGGATCCTGTGATGAAATGGCCTCAGTAACATCTTTAGAAAGAGCAGACAATAGTGGTCTAATGCTGCCCAGTATCGTGTCACTGACAGTGGCTAAAGTAAATGTTATCTTTGTAGGATTCGACAGGCCTACTGCATGTTACAGTGGAAGATTGTCCTCACTTCAGTTCATCACACTATAGTGTCCTCATAGTTCATCTGTCAAACTCCTTTACCTTTCATCCAGCCTCTATGTCCTCCTTTTCAGTTCTGCTATTTAGAGACTTCCAGTACTTTACTCATTTACTCATATGAACCTGTACCACACAATGGAGCCAAAAGAGGATGTCCACCAGCATCTCTTAGGCTCATCATTTTTCATCAGCCTGCCTGGCATTGGTTTCAGAAACCTAATAAATAAGTATATTAATGTCCATTTAACTACAGCATGCCTTTATCATATTCCTCTAACGCTTCCTCCACATTATTATTTTTTTAAAAATCCCTGGGTAAAAGGCATTTTTTAATATAAATTTCCTTACTCTCATTAGTTTAAGCAAAAGGTCGAAAACCAGAGTTTGGTTTTGATGCTGTAGCACAGCTAAATCCCTTCTGGAAGCTGGTTAGGCTGAAGTGAAACAAAGTGTTGGGGAATATAGGGGTTAAGGAATACCCAGGCATTACAGAAGTGGTGAATGGCACTGGTGATCTGGCCCACGGAAAGGGCTCTTTCAGACACCGTTGCCCAGCACAGATGCCAGAAGTTCTGTTTTTCAGACAGGACAAAACTGACCGTGATTTACGAAGAAGCCTTTGAACATTGCATGTAAGTGAGACTGTAAATGCCAGAATTTCAGCCACACTGTGACCGGAGTGGCTGTGGGAGGACCACACTGAACCCCAGGTCTACCTACATCCCACCACAGGTGTTCCTTGGTGCTGCTCTTGCAGTGTTCCAGCAGCATCCCCTGTTATCGAAAATGAATGGATTCTTTTTCCTAACTTTTGCCATGCATGTGATTGTATGCAACCTGTTTAAATAAACTCCTTAAAACAATTTTGAATGCTTCTCTGCCTCATTAT